TTATGAAAAAATTTAGGAACGTCGTAAAATACAATACGAATAATATAAATTTTTTTAGTTTGTAAGTATTTTTAGTTTTCTTTTTTTTTAATTTAGAAAATTAAAAGTTTTTTAAAAATTCAAATTTGACGACAAAAAATCCGAAAAAATTTTGATTGATAATCTTTTTGAGATGAATTTTTTATCATTCGGCTGGTTTCACTTAATCGAAAAAAATAGTTTTCAGCCTTCTTTGAGCCTACAAGAGCCCCTTGGCCTTGTAACAGTCCTATCTATGAGCTATTCTCTTATTTTCACTGGATTACTGCAACCCGCTAAACTCGTCTATTTGTTTACATCAATTAGCATATAAACGGCGCCACCTCATATATTATATGATTGGCTTAGTACCAGAGTCAAATTTCATAACCATATAGGGAGCGTGACGTCACCTACTTATAGATATAGATATAATAGTTTTTGTTGTTTTATTTAAATATGTTAATTAAGAGTAATTTTGATGAAACAAAGCATTTTTTATATAGATTTTAGATCATACATTTAGATTATAATAATTTTAATTGCGTTTAACTACTAAATTATATTGAATTTTAATATACAAAGTTAATTTGTTTATTATATTGTAAATACATATATATTATATCAGAACAATGCGGATACAGTGAATTCGTGATGATTATCTAAGTAACATGAGTAAGAAGTAATTTCATAGATAACAGTTTAGTTATTACTGTTATCAATAAATAAACATATAATAATTTATTTTAACATATAATTGTATATAGATCGAAACCGTAAATTTTGTACATAACAATGACAACTTTATAATTTATTGATCTTAATTAACTAATTTAGTATTTGTATTATAAGATATAAAAAAAAACCGTTACAAATATGAAAATTTATTATAATTCAAATGTTATTAACTAATTTAAATAATTTTCTTTAAAAATTACTTCTACTAGTGAGAAACTATTAATCTGTGTAAAATTTTATTATTATGTTATTCTAAATATTGCACTATCACATTAATTAACTTTATTAGTTAATAACTTTTGACGACACTTCTTGCGATAATTTTAAATTATACTAGGATGATCTATATCTACTCCTGTAAAGTTTACATGATTTAAAATTTCGTTATTACTGTTTATTTTCTTGTAAATTTGAAAAAATGATTTCGCACAATTGTGTAAACAACTGGAAGGGAGCTGTCCTGCGAAAATAGGCGGGAATATCTGTGTATAAATACGCTGATTCTTGCACAGGCTAGCATTCATTCCTAGCCTTGCAAAGTGAGCGCATGAGATTGAATAAACTTGGCTAATACCTAAGTTCTTTCTCTCAAGTGATTAACTGAGAAAATCCTCTTCTTCCTATTGTAATTTATGTTCAACTCATAGAACACTTAAAGCTATGAGAAACTTGGGCTGAATTACAACCTTTTATAAGAAAGACTTAAGCTCTGCTAATGGAATACTTCGCACCATAAGAAACTATGGTAAAGTCTATCTTTCCTTAAATCTCACTCATATAATGATAGATATTCTTTTATTATTTTATTTCAAAGTTAATATTTAGAAGCATTTTTGAAAATTGAAACAAATTCTTATTCATTAACGCGATAGACCATGAGACTACGAACAATAATATAAATAAAAGGTGATACGAACATCACAGCCTCCTAGAGACTAAAAATTGCACCCAGAGAAGCTTTCTAGTAAGCCCTATAAGTGGTCATCTTACATTTGGCAAAACTGTTAGGGGGAGGGTAGGGCGGTGGATTCCACCATCTTCGGCGAGACCGTTTAAAGAAAATTGAATTAATTGATTTCTTTTCTGACTGAATCTATGTAGAATGAGTCATGGTTACTTGATCCGTAATTTATTAAATGACAATAACGATATGTCAACCACAGCAAGCATTTCTGTATATTTCACATATTTCGAAAACATGCAATTTATTAGGAAATTTTTATTTAACAGAGATAGGTTTCTGCAGGTAATGATCCTCACAAATATGATATATTCAAAATACAGTGTGAATAGTTTTATAACGTGTTGTAAATGTTTTATCAAAATGCTAGCTATTATTAATAGTTAATAATAGAAACCTTATTTTGATGATCATTATGATTTGTTAATATTTTTTTAGATTGTGTAATGCGATACATTACAAGGCCTTTCCTGGGTGCTGCATTATTTGCAACACCTCAGAAAGGCCATCCCCGTCCCTTGCCGCCCCGTAACCGGTTGAATTAAATAAAGATAAACGCGCTCTATACAGAACAATTACTCTTTTTTATGTCCGAACGACCACGCCGGAGATATGGATGAAACAAACTTGTCAAACGCGATCCGACGGACGCTCAAAGAGCAGACAGAAAAAAAATAGAAGCGCACCACGGAAAAAGAGAGCGCACGCACACACTCACTCACATACACTCCCGACCACGTGTTGCCGACCGGCGAAAGAAAAATGCAAAACTTGACTGGGAAATGCAACGGAAATGCATGTTGATGACACATGCAGATCCGTTACACTCCCAGACACCCACACTAACACTCACGAGGCACTGACACTCCTGGGGCGAGCAGAAAATCGCCGATGAAGTGGCAGCCGTCAATCAGCTGTGTCGGGCTGCCGAACACCATCGGCGACATCCTGAGCGCCACACACAAGAAATACAGCAACCACACACACAAACACCCGGGAGAACATCACTGAACCGACACGGGAGCGCCCCAGGAGGCGCTCCAACAACCGACACAAGGACACGAGGCGTACGCGCTAGAAACGGAGCGGCCATCTTGAAGCGCCGAGACAGACTGAGAGCGAGCGAGCGAGACAGAGCGAGCGAAATAGACTAAGCAAGAGCGAGCGAGACAGACTGAGATAGAGCGAGCGAGACAGAGCGAGCGAAATAGACTAAACAAGAGCGAGCGAGACAGACGATACAAAATGATAGATAGAATAATATGCAAATGCGAAGATGAGGGCGCTACAAATGAAACGGCGTATATTATATACGTATATATGACACAATAAAATTAAAATTATGATTGGAAAATAATGAGCGTGGAATAAATACCGAATTGTAAAATTCGCACGCGACCGACACCCCTATTATGATAGCGAGCGACAACTACCCCCTTTAGGTTTAAATAATAATTTAACTAACCGAATTCGAACCTCTGACAAAATTCGCTAGTGACGTCACGACCAATGAGCAAATTAGAATAAAATTTAATTTCCGTCCGGATAGACAAATAGATAAGAGTAGGGGTAGATCTTTTCCAACAACTAACGATAGCTACCTTAGTGCGGGGTGAGAGAGGGTAAATAACAACGAAAATAGGAGAGTTAAGGAGGGCGCTGTATCCTTCTAATTTACATACGGACCAATAATAAAATATTCGGAGGGCGCTACCGATATCCGAATTAGCATACCGACCAATAATAACATTTCTTCTCGGAAAGAGGAGAAGAAAAGCGATCTTTGACCGCGAGAAGCCGATTCTCGTCCATTTTGCCACTGGATCTCTCGATAGAAGGAGCCTCTGTCAGATAATCTTGCCGCAGGATTACTAGTGCTAGACGTCGTCCATTTTTCTTTTGCTAATTTTGTTTGCCAATACCGCAAGGAAAAATTGTAAGTAGGCAAAGTGCTATTCACTTTTATTTAATCGCGGAGTGCGGGGATAAATCTATCAGTGCTGTAGGTCGTCGCGACGCGTGGATCCGTCGACGCCGGTGCCTATCGAATCGCGCTGACCTGTCCGCCATTCCGTATATTTTAAAGTGAGTGTTAGATGTTACGAATAAAAATTGCAATTTAGGATTCGCGCTGACCTTTCGTTAACTAGTTATTACGTACGTAGGTTTAGCCGAATCAAATTGTCTTGGTTATTTAGTTGTGTTGATCTTCCCGCCATTTAGCAAACCGGACGTGAGCGTTAGGATTAACCAATGAAAATTGTGATCTAGGATATTCGCGCTGACCTTTCGCTGGCAAATTGCCGCGAACGTAGAATTAGCCAAATAAACTCACCCTGCCTATTTAATCGTGCTGACTTTTCCGCCATTTCATAAATCTAACGTACGTGTTAGGTTTATACGAATTAGAAGCAGTGACTGAGTTATTCGCGCTGACCTTTCGCTGATGAGTTATCACGAGAGTAGGATTAGCCGAATAGGATTACCGTGCTGACCTTTCCGCCATTTCATGAACCGAGCGTGAGCGGTAAGATCAGACAAAGGAAATTCGTGATTGAGTTATTTGCGCTGACCCTCCCTCTTTGTTAATCGAAGACCGACCGGAAAATTATTAACGTTCCGATTGATTTGTATCCTTACGGATTAATGAGTATTCAGAATTTTACCGACCATATTCACACCGACCTCGTATGTGAGAATTATTAATGCATCAATAAAGTGATTAATTATCTTTATATATAAAATTTACTTTGATATCCTACCCCCATTGCATGCTAGCGATTTTCAGCCGCGAGCGGTTACATACGGGTACCATTAATTCGCTGTATTTTTGGGTCACTCGATAGGTAACATACGCGCGAATTCGAACGTCCTCACGACCTGACTTAAGGAGCCATCACCTGAGCTGCCGGCATACCCTAATTAAGGAGGAAAAATAGAGAGGAGTGTTGGACACCAAGGCCTGAAGTGAGGATACAACGCGTATCCCCCGTCTGCCTACTCTGCGCAGTCGCCGTTAAGCAAACCGGGATACGCGATAACCCTACTGGCCTTACCCCCGACGATCGCCGTAATCAGCCGACGGTCTGGCGCCCTAAATAATCGGGGGTAGAGCCAACCAGGCCTTGTAGTGGAAGAAACTCGGAGAGCGGTCAAAACCCCCGAAATTCCCTGCCACAATTGTATACTCGTATATTAAAAAATAAACAATGAAAATTAAAAATTAAAGATATTTGTATTAATATTTAATATACTATAAAATATTTTGTTTTATAATTTACAGCTGCGAAATACAATGGAAAATCTTACTTGTGCTACCGTCAAAGGATCTGCGGTAGATATGTATTTCAGAAGACAAGTAGAATTATCAAACATGTATCGCACAATGGAAGCAAATAATTACAATACGGCTGAAGAAGCAATTAGAGACGTCAAAATTGGGTAAGAGTATTTATTACATTTCGTAATAACAATTTTTAACGAAGTAAAAGATATTGTAACGAAAATGCCGGTCGACATAGATACGGCTGTACTCGCGGCATTTTCACAATATTTTTTAAAGGTTTCAAAGGACGTGAACGCTCCATTGCCTAAGTAAAGTGCTGAGTGTACACACGAATCTAATGCGTCACTAATGCCAGGATGAGGATTGAAACGGTTCGAAAACACTGTGCTACACGCTTAATTGTGATGCACTTTACTGAAACTAATTAAGTTTAATTAATTATTTAATTTAATCTAGCTAACTGAGCTTCAAATAACTCTTCTGATAAATAAACTGAACTATACGTCTTTTTTGATCCGCTATTTTGTGAAATAATCAATGCGAGCAAGAAATGATCAAGTTTCAACAAACAAAAATGATAAAATCTAAAATTTAACTTGTTGACGGGAAACGCTAAGTTATATTAATTTAAGAATAAACAGTAGTAAATTTTTACTTAAAATTGAATAAATAAAAATGTATAATTACTTTATCTTTAAGTTGCCAAACACAAATTACATAAAAAACAAACTAATTTTTCCTTAAAAGAACATCTAATAAAGTAAAACGACAGTAAAAATTAAAAGAAACAAAGTATTCTTGACCTCGAAGTCGATAACCCAAGTTGATAAAATATTGCTTCTGCAGCACTTCATTCTACTTAACCAAAATTGCATAGCTTGATTATTTCATCATTAATCTAAAATTTACATAATCGTCGACAAATTTATTTAAACTAATCGTAAACTCGAGCGGAGCTCGGAAGTCGAAAATGCTTCCGAGCAGACGAGTAAGCGCACACCGTTGCTCTACCCCTTTTAGCCAGCTGTAGCCAGACGCACGTTCCCCTCGCTAAAAAGATGCACGTTTGAATACCCCTTCCACAGCTCAGAGGGGAACGTGCGTCCAATTCAATATTTGGCGGACACTAGTCGCTCAAACCTGGTATGCAACGTTTAACTTTTTAGGATACTACGAATAAATATGGCTTTCTCCCATCCACTCGAGATGGATATCAGACCAATATCGTCAGTTATATCTATTTACATTATCATTTAACTCAAACGATGCTCTATCCAAAGAGACAATGTTTTCTAGATGTCATATATTGTGATTTATTTCAATCATAGTCTCATACAAATAAACATGGCAATCAGGATTATTATAATTTAACATTTGCATGAGTTTTATTTTGTAGAGATAAAATTTGTTAACCTTTAGAACTTTATGTACAGATTTATAATCAATCTCGTATTGTAAAACTCGTGTTGCAGAACGCAGTGTGTCTTGTGGCTTCTCCATAAACGACTCTAAAATATTCAACAATTTTTCTTCATTTGTTGCAGTCGACGGTGTACCAATATTAAGACGACTTCGAACATATCCCGTTTGTTTCAAACGTCTCACATTCTGTGAAACTGTTTCTTTTAATATATCACCACCCTTATTTCGAAATATTCTATTAAAACCTTGAACTACATTATTATACGTCCTTGTTCGATCACCTCTACCCTTCATCATCAGTAGAGATATACCCGTACGTTCTCTTTCTGACAAACGATCCATTTTGATTGAAAAATTTTAATGTAAATGAGTTTTACCAGTAGAGGTATAATTTTATTATGAAAATTTATAACAAGTTCAAGAATGTACTACCGTATAAAGAACAACTTAAAATTAAAAAATTTGATGATTTTGTAAGCTTTTATATCTTGCAAAGTGAAAGTGTTATTTATACCGGTCTATCATAAATAAGATAAATAAAAAATGTTTTAAAAATATGTTTTTACTTGTGCACTAAAGTATTACAAAAAATTTTAGATTTTTATTTAGTCGAAAGTGCTTCAAATTTCAATGATAAAGTTTATACCATTTTTCAGAATATAGAAAGAAGAATATAGCTGAACCAAGTGTAAGTTAAATAAAAGTTCTTAATGAAAATGTTCTTGTTAAGTACAGGCTCTGTATCTTTACTATAATAAAAATTTTGAAAATTTACAAACATATCGTAGAGCATGATTGATTTTGATTGATTTTGAGATTAAGATTTCTGTATGGATAGTACTGCGAATCGAAAAAAAGTTTGACGTTGCTAATATTGCAGTGATCATATTTGCTAGTGTTGGCAAATTTCTCATCCTTCCGTTTCATTTGGAAAGCCAACACTACAAAGCGTGGTTTTTCGAGCTGACTAAAAGTTTTGACGGTCCAAACGTATCTCCATGTGTTCGATAACTTTGGATATTCATAGAACTCCCAGGAACGGAAACCCATAGTGATTGGTCGGTCTTTGTCTATGTAATTAAGCAGATTGATTTTATGTCTATCTGAGAAAATAACATAAGGAATCAACCACTCTATTTTTGCTCGTAATCTTGAATTCTTCGTAGGTCACAAGATCATTTGCTAAGGCACCTGCTGTGAATTTTGATAAGATTTCTCGTATCATCATTACCACATCATCCGGCATTTTCGCTAATCAAACTTTTACTTGAATTGAGTGAAAGCCAGTTCTTCTTGACACTAGTCAGCCCCATATTCAATGACATTGATCTCGTAACAAATCTCCTCGAACAAATGACAGTTGGCATAATTGACAAATTTAGTTTTATTCGATACTATCCCGTCCCGTGCTGTTAATTTTCCAAAGATATGAAGCATGCTACGTGATGGTAGGAGATACAAATCTTGAATAAATATTGGCAAAATAATGATTTGACTCAAACTGACAAATCTATAGCAAAATTCTATGGATTACCAAAAATACATAAAGAAAATGTGCCACTACGACCAATTATTTCATCAATTAATAGCCCTACTCACAAATTAGCTAAATTCTTATATAGTACTCTTAAAACAATTATAAATAAACCTAACTCTCACATTACCCCATTAACGCCGAAAAAGCCAAAAATCTTAATTTTATTTGCGTTTATTTTTGAAGTACTTAAACATTAAGAATATGTCTAAAAATGACTTACTTTATGTTTTTTGAATCGCTCTACAAGATTCTAAAATCAAAATGATGATTAGATTTCAAGAAAAAAAATATGGCGACTTTTTTCGAAAAAAGCACTGAAAAATTTGTCGCGAAAAATTAAAAAATCAAATATTCTATCAATTAGCATGTTTTTATTCAACAAAAATGAGCACAAGTTTGCACAAGAAATCAGGTACACACATGTACATATAATTATATGCCATAAAAATTACATTTGTAACTTTATTGTTAATAATTTGTTGTTTTTCTGTTGATAAAGCCTGAAGAGGTCAGCAAACGTGCTGACGAAACGTTGCTGAACATAATTAAAATTAAGTGAATTTCCAGGTCTCACTATTTCTCTTCTTTCCATTATTACAAATTTTATCATTTACAAATCTTGATGTTGAATTGAAATCCGAATTTCGTCGTTATTGTTGAATGACGATGCTAGATAAGGTTGATGCGCATAAATCTTATAATGAGCGATAGATTCATCAAACTCGACACCTGATTAAATGACGAGAATTTCTTCCATTTCGTTGAATACAGCAAAGTAGTACACAGGTTATCTTCCACCACGACTGCTTATGACCATTAGGTCGACTGACGTTTCGTTGACATGGTCGGCTACTTATATATGGGGGGAGGGGGGTCAATAAGTCTTTACAAAAAGAAGGAAAAAAAAGTTTTGCGTATGTAATTTTTTTTTATTTTTGAACATAATCTTCTTGAAGGTCGATACATTTTTTTAAATGACCTTCCAGTTTTTTTAAGCCATTAGAAAAATATGATTTCTGAAAACCCTCGAAATAGGCATTTGTTTCGGTGATGAATTCTTCATTCGATGTGAATCGTTGTCCGGCAAGCCATTTTTTGAGGTTAGGAAACAAGAAAAAGTCACTGGGAGCCAAATCAGGTGAATATGGTGGATGGTCAATTAATTCGAATGTTAAATTGTTAATTTTTGCCATCGAAACTGCACACGTGTGAACTCGAGCATTGTCTTGAAGAAAGAGGCATTTTTTTTTGTTTAAGTGAGGACGTTTTTCTCTGATTTTTTCTTTCAGCTAACCTAATAATGGCGCATAATATTGTCCAGTGATCGTCTAGCCCTTTTCCAAGTAGTCGATGTAGATGATTCCATACGCATCCCAGAAAACCGTGGCTATAATCTTTATGCTGACTTTACTGTCTTTGCCTTCTTTGGGGCTGGTTCTCTTGCGGTAATCCATTGTTTGGACTGTTCTTTGGTTTCAGAAGTGTAGTAATGTACGCATGTTTCGTCTACAGTTTCGAGTCGACGCCAAAAGTCTTCCGGATTACGACATATGCGATGCCAAAAGAGCGTCAGAGGTGACCACGCAGGTTCGTTTGTTTTCAACAGTGAGCAAACGCGGCACCCATCTTGCTGATATTTTTTTCATCCCCAATTTTTCATGCGAAATTGAAATGATTGTACCCTTTGATACCCCTGTGGCCTCAACTAATTCTCGCAATTTTAATCTTCTATTACTCAACATCATATCGTGTATTTTGTTGGCCATTTCGGGCGTACTCACTTCTACGGGGTGTCCTGAACGAGGTTCATCTTTTGTTGTTGTACGACCGCGTTTGAATTCATGTACCCAGTTATAAACAGTCTTAAACTCAGGGGCAGACTTGCCATGAAATGCGTTCAACTCAACCGTGATTTCTTTTGGTGTAAGGCCTTTCAAATGAAAATGTTTTATTACCGCTCGAAACTCTGTTTTTTCCATTTTTCAAATAAACCAGTAACTTTTTGTTCAATCAACGCTCACAAAAAAACGACTTAATGAATCGAGCTGAAACTTTATACGATATCTAGTAAGTAGTATTGCTTGCCAAAAACGTCGTAATTTAAGCATGACGAGCGCCATCACTTGAATTTTGTAAAGACTTATTAACCCCCCCCCCCCCCTCATACCCATTCCTAACCTTCCTGTTAAACATCAA